AATATTAATTATATAATAATGTTTCAAAATAATATTATAATTTTATTTACTTGCATATAAATTATTAATATGAATATAGATAGATGTACAAATAAAGATTAGTGAGAGAGACATAAAAATAAAAAATATATGGCAACCATATTTTTTTTATTATTAAATTAAAATAAAACTGAGAATTTTGCTATAATAGAAAATACAAATCTGTTGCTTCCTCATAACAATTAGAAGTAAACTGAGCATTTATTATGCACGTGCATAATTGCACAAATAATAAAACAGTATTTTACATGGTGATGTTTTTTTGGCCGTAGCCTATAAAAATGAACTTACTTTTGGAAATTAATTGACAGCCATCAAATCTCAAGTCTGATTGGTTTTCACAGCAGAAGAGCTGAAGTGTTTCTCTAACGCTCTCATGCATTCACATGCAGTCAACATGCAGGATTTGTACAACCTAGACGCCTGAATGCATCCCTGAATGTCTAGCACATACAAAAATACAGAAATTATTAAAAAACAAAAAAAACTCTGGCTGGCTTGATGCATCTTTGGGGATTTTGGTGCATCAGTTTAGTTGGATGAAAAAAAGACTAGCGTTCATAAACGACTGTGACTTTTCTTTCATTTTATTTCATGCACCAAGCCTTTCTGACGCGATCCTGATCGAAGCGCTCACACGTCACATGGATCAGCATCATGACTTCACCGATGACATCACTTCCTGTGTGCATGAGTGGGAATATTTACATTCTTTCATTCATTAACACTTACACCAGGTTGACTACAGAAGTATTCGAAGCAGCTATATAGTGTTCAACAACAACAACAGGTTCACAATCTCACGAAACATGTCGGTCATATTCCATCCCGTAATAAAGAAATAAGAACAAATATTTTGCGTAACGTTTTTATGCCGAGAAATTTGCTGAATTTTGTGCATCATAATATTTAGACAATTAACCGTTTACCTTACCAATGATCACTATTTTAATGCAAAAAAATTGTATGCGTGTATAATATATATATATATACACACACACACACACACACACACACACACACACACGGTCAAAAGTTTGGGATCAGAATGATTTTTAATGTTTTTTAACAGGAGTTTCTTCTGCTCATCAAGGCTGCATTTATTTGATCAAATCTGATTTATTATCAGTGTTGAAACAGCTGTGCTGCTTAATATTGTTTTGGAAACTGATACTTTTTTCAGGATTCTTTGATGAATAAAAAGTTAAAAAGAAGAGCATTTATTTAAAAGGGCAATCTTTTCTAACAATATACACTACCGTTCAAAAGTTTGGGGTCAGTACATTTTTATTCTTTCTTTTTTTTTTTTTTTAAAGAAATTAAAACTTTTATTCAGCGAGGATGTGTTAAATTGATAAGAAGTGATAGCAAAGATTTATATTGTTAGAAAAGATGTATATTTTGAATAAATGCTGTTCTTTTTAACTTTTTATTCAAAGAATCCTGAAAAAAGTATCGGTTTCCAAAAAATATATTTGTCAGCACAACTGTTGATAATTCTAATAAATGAGCATATTAGAATGATTTCTGAAGATTATATGACACTTTATACTGGAGTAATGGCTGATGGAAATTCAGCTTTGCATCACAGAAATAAA